TAAAAAAAAAAAAATAGTAACTAACAGCCTGTTTTTCTTTATAGTTCTCATACCTGAGAATATAACCAAAAAACCAAACCCACTGCCATTGAGTCAATTCTGACTCATAGTAACCCTACAAGAAAGAGTAGAACTGCCTCATTTGGTGTCCAAGGCTATAAATGTTTATGGAGGCAGACTGCCTCATCATTTTCCCACAGAGCATCTGGTGGGTTCAAACAGCTGACCTTTTGGTTAGCAGCCGAATGCTTTAATGTGCCAGCAGAGCTCCTTCCTAAGAGTCAAACTCAAAAACTCAATGCTATTGAGTCAGTTCGACTCATAGCGACCCCTCCTTGGGTTTCTGAGGCGGTATCTCTATGGACGTAGATTGCCCTGTCTTTCTTCCGAGGAGTGACTTGTGGGTTTGAACTGCCAGCCTTCTGGTTAGCAGTCAAATGCCTTAGGCATTATGTCACCAGAGTTCCCAGTCCTAAGAGTATATGTCCCTAAAAAATAAAATTAGGCATTGCCTGTGTTTGGACTTAATATAAATGGAGTCATTCTCATTGTATGCCTTTGCATCTAGCTTATTTCAGTCAAAAAATAATTTTAAGATTTACACATTTTTGTATATAGTTTGTTTATTTTTATTTACTATTCGATTGTGTAAATATACCACAATTCATTTATCTTGATGGAAAGTGTAGGCTGTTACCAATTTTTTTATTTTTTGTTACTCCTTCTAATTAATACTGCTGCTGAACATTCTTTCTCATCTCCATGTGTAGTGGCACAAGATATTACCCTAGGATATATGCCTGGGAATGGAATTGCTGAGTCATTAATTAGGCATATGCTCAGTTTTACTAGAGAAGGCCACACTCGGTGATTTACTAGATAATTGTCCACCAATTGGTATAACAATTTCTGCTCTCACTTGCATTGTTTCACATCTTCACCAGCTCTTTGATGTTGCTGCGAGATTTATAAATTTTTGCCATTCTGGTGGATATGTAGTTCATTTCACTGATGGTTAATATGGTTGGTCTTTCTTTTCCCCCCTCCATAGTTTATGCAGAGCGTTTTATGTTGCAAATTATCTTTCATGTCATTTAATTTATCTGCTGAAACCTTGTAAATTAGAATACAACAATGATCACTATCTACCTTACACAAAAGAGGGCAAAAAAGCTCACCCTGGGAAAGTGGTGTGTCCAGAGACACACAGCAAATCTGTGACAGAGCAGGCATTCCTAGTCTAGTAATTTTCCATCATGTTAAAAAATTTGGCACATATGTAAATATTTGCTATTTGTCCATTTTTTACATGTACAATTCAGTGACATTACAGGCATTCCTTGTTTTCTTGTACTTCACAGATAATTGCAATTTTTTTTTGCACCCTATTACTTAACTTTTTTTTTTAGTTATGCTTTGGGTGCAAATTTACAGAGCAGAATTAGTTTTACATTCAACATTTCGTATACATTTTTTTACTCCCAATTGCTATCCCCAACCCTAACCCACTCTCCTCCTCTTCCTTCCCAGCAACCCCCCCACACCCCCTTCCCCCATGCCCTTCTTAGTTATGCACTCATGTGTGTCCTGCTTTTCCTCCATGTGAATGTTGCCCGTCTGGTGCCCCATGGCTGATTGCTCCAAGGGATGTATCTCCCATCAAGTAGGCGGGTGCATCACCCTGGGTTGGGTGTTCTACATATAAGTCTTAATTTACTATTGGGCTGAGAGCCAGCCCTTAGGAGTGAGTTTTATCCCAGGGCCATAGTCTTCGGGGTCCCACCAGACTCCATCCGACCAGTAATTCTGTTCATTATTGTGTTTTTGAATATTGTTCCACACTTTTCCTCCCACTTTATCCAGGATCTCCAGTATTGATCCTTTCCCTAGTGGTTGGCATTGGTAGCCAGGCACCATCTAATTCTGGTCTCGACGTCCATCATGTCCTAGGGCTGATTATTTCCAAATGCCCTTGTTTTTTTTTCACTCTACTTCACTTCCAGTGATAGGAGTGGTTGGTCATTATTTTATGTTTATTAGCCTTTTAAATTTTTATTCTGTGAAATGCCCATTTTTCTCCTGCATTGTCTTTCAGATATATAGCAGTTCTTTATATATTCCAAATACTATTCTGTTTTTAAGGAGCTCTGGTGGCTTAGTGCCTAAGGCATTTTACTGCTAACCAGAAGGTGGAAAGTTCAGAAGCACCATCCCCGCCACGGAAGAAAGATGGGGCAATCTACGTCCTTAAAGATTGGAAACGCAATGGGGGTTGGGATCAGAATTGACTCGATGGCAGTGGGTTTGGTTTATTCTGTTACTGGATTATATGTGGTACCATGTCTGCTCCTATTCTGTGACCTGTCTTTTTTCTTTTTCTATGGTATCTTGAGAAATGGAAATACTTAATTTTAATGTTGAGTTTATCAGTCTTTTATTTCGTGATTATGCTCTTTATGTTTAAGAAATCCTTTCCTACCCCTAGGTCATGAAGATGCCTTTTAATGCTAACCGCTTTTCAAATATACATGTTTTTGTCTCTGTAGAATCAATATGAAAAGCATAAAGAAGTCGAAGCAGCTCAGGGTGTAAAGATTCTTGGAAAAGACCTTGAGAAAACGTTGGCTGGCTTACCCCTCCTGGTGGCTTATAAAGAAGATGAAATCCCTGTTCTTAAAGTAAGTCACTTTTTAATCCTTTTCTTTACAAAAGCTGTTTGATTTCTGTTGTTTGTCAGCAGGGCATACAGTAGGAATGGTGAAAAAAATGGGCATCTTTGTTTTGTGAAGCCTACTGTCTGGTTGCCTTTTAATGGAGAGTTGATACTTTTAAATTACTTCGGTTTATTGCAGTGACAATAATTGGCATAGATATTTATATTACATAATATACCTAGCATTCTAAAATTTACATTTTATTCAAATTAAAAATGAATCAAAACTTAAGAGCTGTTTATTCATGTTTTATTTTAGATACACAATAAGTAGCCAGAATGATAGAAAAACTTAGTTCACATTGTTGTGTTGTTGTTGTTATGTGCCATCGAGTCGGACCCGACCCATAGCGACCCCTCCTTGGGTTTCCTAGGCAGTATCACTATGGAAGTAGATTGCCCCATCTTCCTTCCGAGGAGTGGCTGGTAGGTTTGAACCGCCAACCTTCTGGTTAGCAGTCAAGTGCCTTAGCCACTATGCTACCACAGCTCCCAAGTTCACATTAGGATGACTCATTTTAAAGCCTATCAGCCCATTTGTAGGAGCAGTTAGCCTACATGAATACAGCCTACTTTCCACGAAGCAGACATTGAGCCATCGTCATCTGTTGGCTCACCAAAAAGAAAATCAACTCAGTAGCAACAAAAGGCTTTTCTGCTATGCTGGTACCACTCTTATTCTTTTTCTTAAATAATATTTTACTGTGTTTTTGGTGAAAGTTTACATATCAAATCAGTTCCCATTGAACAGTTTCTACACAAATTATTCAGTAATATTGATTACATTTTTCACAGAGTATCAACATTCTCATTATTTCCATCTTGGTAGTTCTGTTGCCAGTAATCTAGTTTCCCTGCCCCTCTTACCTTCCCATATTTGCCTTAGAGAAATTGTTGGCCATTTGATCTCAAATAGATGATTTTTCCATGGAGCACAGTACTCATGGGTTATATTGTTTTATGAGCCAATCTGTTTTTTGCTAAAAGTGACCTTGGGATAGTTTCAGTTCAAGGTTCAATGGACATCTCAGAGCAGTAGTCTTGGGTCTCAAGTGTCAGTCTATCTGAACTTTTTAAGAATTTGACTTCAGTTCCATAAATTTCTTCCATTCTATCAGGATCCATCTGTTGTGGCCCTTATCAGGATGGTCAGGAGTGATAGCTGGGCACCATCTAGTTCTTCTGGTCTCAGGGTGGATGAGGCCACGCTTTGTGTAGACTGTTAGTTCTGTGGACTAGTTTCTTCTCTGAGTCTTTGGTTTCCTTGTTTTTCTTTTGTTCCAGATTGAGTAGAGTTCTCTTCCAGATGAGTAGAGATCAATAATTGTATCTTGGATGGCTGCTCACAAATTTATAAGGTCCTAGACACTACTTTCCAGAATAGAACATAAAGTCTGTGCACTATATTATGCTAGTGGACCTAGTTGTCCCATGAAACTATGGTCTCAAGCCTTCAAAGTCAGAAAGCCTGTCCCACGAGGTGTTTGGTCATATCTAAGACTAGGAAGTATTTGTGACTGTGCCGCCATTACTCTTTAAGCAGCATTAGGTTGCTTCCATGAGAATTCACTACTTTAGGGGTACCCTCATTTGGCTAATCCTTAGTGTGGAGTACATTTCCGTGTCTTTAATGGCAAAGACATGCTTTTCTACTCATTTCTCAGAGAAGCAGTGATGGAAGAAAGAGTGCTTAGATCCTGAGATTAGAGTATCTCATAGTTAAAACAGGCAGAGCTTTGAGATTCCATAATACACATTTACATGGTGCTTTTAACTTTTAAAAGATTATTCTTGTTATTTTACCTTGCTTATCCCGGCATCTACCTTAGTTGCCAAGTTATAAAGAGAAAGGTGAAGTGGAAGCCAGCTGAAAGATGGCCCCAAATCTTCTTCCAGTGCAGTTTCTGCCTTGCTCTCTCCAAGCCTTAATTTTATATTTTTAAGGATGAATACTCATCCCAAAGGAGAATGCTTAATTTTTAGGTTGCTAAATGTATTGGCAGCATTGTCTTATCTCATTTCTCTTCAAGGATGAGTTGATCCATGAGTTAAAGCAGACACTAAATGCCATCAAATTAGAAGAAAAAGGAGTCTACGTCCAGGCATCTACACTGGGCTCTTTGGAAGCTCTACTTGAATTTCTGAAAACATCAGAAGTCCCCGTAAGTAATTGTACCCAACTCTGTGTAAGAGTCAGTGCTGGTAGTGGTTTGTGGTGTGGTTTTGATACCGGGCACATGCAAATTAACTCTGAAACTCCCTTTTCACATACAGTATGCAGGAATTAATATTGGCCCAGTCCATAAAAAAGATGTTATGAAAGCTTCAGTGATGTTGGAACATGATCCTCAGTAAGGAATTTCTCTTCTGCTACTAAGGTTTTCTTATTAGTTACCTGTTTTCTTTGAACTATGCTTTATGACCTATATTGTTTTAACCTTTCAGGTATGCAGTAATTTTGGCTTTTGATGTGAGAATTGAACGGGATGCACAAGAAATGGCTGATAGTTTAGGAGTTAGAATTTTTAGTGCAGAAATTATTTATCATTTATTCGATGCCTTTACAAAATATAGACAAGACTACAAGAAACAGAAACAAGAAGAATTTAAGTAAGTTGATGGTACTTTTATTTACTTTGGGTCTTTGGTAATGAAGTTTATTGAGATTTACCAAATACCAGAAAGGTGTAGACAATAGAAACATGGTATTTTCTCATAGACCAGAGGTGTGTCCTGAAGTGCATGTTATAAAACCATAAATCCTACACACCTGAGCCTTCAAGCAGTTTGTGTAAACAAATCCTCTTGGTAGTCTTTTGGTTTGTTTTTTAATTTCAGTTTGATAGGCTGAAGTATCATTAATGGGTGAGTAATTCCTAAATTTGGGGACTTTATATTGTTACAGTTTTTTATGGGGGACTGAATGGAATGGAAGTAACAAATTAGAGTTTGGGAAATGGGCCAAAGAATAATGTGGGAGAAAAGTTCATTCCTATAGTGATCATTATACAGTGCCTGCGGCTTCCAGAGTACTGTTGCTAAGTGTTAGATGAGTCAACAGTGAACTTGTCAAGTCCCACCCGCTTAGGGCTCAGATGCTGATAAAGAGAAACAACCAATTAAGAAAGGAGAATTGGTGTTAAATGCTAAAAAGCAAAAGAAAGCAGAGGAAGGGCCTAGAGTGATATGGAGAGAGGGGGGCTATTACAAGTAGAGAGTTTGGAAAAGGTACCTCTCTGTAAGTCTCTCATTTGAGTACAGACCTGAAGGAAATTAAATGAGCCACACAGATGTCTGGGGAATATTCCAGCAGAAGGAGCAGCAAGTTAAAAAGCTATGAGGCAGGATTGAGTTCAAAGGTTGGAGGCAGCCACACTGTGGCTGTGGCAGAATAAACCAAGGGGGAAATGGTCAGAGAAGTTGGCAGGACCCATGTCACATAGGACCCTGTAGGGCATGGCAGGGGTGAGCTTTACTCTTAAGTTGCAAAAGTTTGTGTGGACATGATCACACTGGTTGTACAGTGGACCATGGATTGTTAGGGGATAAGTGACAAGAGACAAAAGACTTTCATAATATAAGTAAGAGATCATGGTGACTTAGACTAGTATGTAGTGCTTGCTGATGACAGGGAGGGATGGCTCAATTTGGGATGCATGTTTAAAGTAGAGCTGACTACTGGTAAACACTAGGATTTCAGTTGGGATATGCTGACATTAGATCATGAAACCTGATGTGAGGACACTTAGATTTTATTTAGAAGATGACTAGAAACGAAGTATTTTAAACATATGCTTGATATACAAGCCTCGTTTTCTGTGCTGTCTTCCCCAGTGGGTCAGCTCTGAATGCCACTGCTTCTCCATTTGGGAAGATGGTAGAGCAAATGAGACTGGTTTGATGCTTGCTTGTGTGGCCTGCAGAGTAGACTCTACACTTGCCCAACGATAGAGCTGTCAGCATGCACTGTGTAGGTTCAAAGCCTCAGGGTGGCTGCCAAGTGTGTTCAGGAGCAGGGCTTAGAATTTTCATTTGTACACAGATTGCTTCTAAGATGCAGCGTCTTTTAGGGTAGGGCTTAAGAGGGAGGAAAGTGAGTACTAGGGATACAACAGAATGGAACGAGGGAAGGGAAAAGAATGAAGAGCCGTGTGCTGCACCATCTGCCGCTGACAGTAATGTACAGTTTCCAGACTTGCTTCTTTCATGGGACCTATTAGAAGACATGCTTTTCTTACTCGCCTCACATTCATCTGTGTTTCTCAATGTTCAAATTATTTCGCGTTGGATTGTAAATGTCACATTTTCTTTTTTTTCTTTAGGCACATAGCAGTATTTCCCTGCAAGATGAAAATCCTTCCTCAGTTTATTTTCAATTCTCGAGATCCAATAGTGATGGGAGTGACTGTGGAAGCAGGTCAGGTGAAACAGGGCACACCCATGTGTGTCCCTAGCAAAAATGTAAGTTCTTTGCACATTTTTTGTTTTAATTTAGCACCAAGCCTTCCTCCTCAAAACAAAACCACACAAAACTCAGACTCAGCTTGTACAGTGTGTTTTCACCTAGTGTATGAAGGAGATCTGTGAGGAATTGTGTAGGGGCAAACGAGACTGTTCTTGAGTGGTTCAGGAGCCTTTATGCCCTTTATGCCATATGGGAAACTGATAACCCTATTTTATCAATTCTAACATGTACTGTTTTGCACATTTTAGCTACTTTGAAATTGGGATGTATTTCACAATTACTGTTGTATTTCACAGCCCTTCTTAGCCAGGATCCAGGTAAGGGGTAGGAGGCAGGCAAGGCCCCAGCCCCCTAGAGCCAGGAAAGGGAAGGAGCAGCCGGGGGACCACAAGAGTGGTAGGAACCAGGTAGGGAGGGGTGGGAGGCAGGCAAGGCCCCAGCCCCCAGAGTCAGGAAAGGGAGGGAGCGGCCGGGAACTACAAAGTGGCAGGATCCAGGTAGGGATTAGGTAAGCTAAGGGCACAGAGGTTTCCAACAGCTAAGGGAGACAAACTTCTCTGTCAGTGTGTCATCCTGTAGGGCTTGCACATAGCTGTGAGGCTTGAGGCTGTGCCACCAGTGTTTCAGATGCCAGCAGGGTTGCACATAGTGTAGGTTTCAACGCAGCTTACAGACTGAGACAGACTAGGAAGAAGGAAGACGCCATCCACTTCTCAAAAAATTGGCCAGGGAAAATGTTATGAATAGCATAGAAACACTGTTTGATACATTACTGGGTTACTTTATGAATAGCTTGGAAACATTGTCTGACACAGTGCAGGAAGACAAGCCCCTTGGGTCAGAAGGCACTCAAAATGGGACTGGGAAAGAGCTGCCTTATCAGAGTAGAAACAACCTTAATGATACAGATAAACTAAGTCTTTCAGGACCTCCATGTGCTGACAAGGCACGACTCAAATTGAGGAGAAACAGCTGCAAACATCCATTAATAATCAGAACATGGAATGTATGAAGTATGAATCTAGGAAAATTGGAAGTTGTCAGAAATGAAATGGAATGCATAAAGATTGATATCCTAGGCATTGTTGTTGTTGTTGTTATGTGCTATCAAGTTGGACCCGACTCATATGGACTGGTTTTGGCCATTTTGAATCAGACAACCATATGATCTACTATGCTGGGAATGACAAATTGAAGAGGAATGGCATGGCATTCATCATCACAAAGGATGTGGCAAGATCTGCCCTGAAATACAGTGCTGTCAATGATAGGATACTATCCATATACCTACAAGAAAGACAAGTTAATACTACTGCTATTAAATCTATGCACCAACAACCAAAGCCAAAGATGAGGAAATTGAAGATTTTTAACAACTTCTGCAGTCTGAAATTGACAGAACGTGCAATCAAGATGTGTTGCTTATCACTGGAGATTAGAATGCAAAAGTTAGAAACAAAAAACAATCACGGTAGTTAGAAAATTTGGCCTTGGTGACAGAAATAATGCTGGAGATCACATGATAGAATTTTGCAAGACCAACAACTTATTCATTGCAACCTTTTTTCAACAACACAAACAGTGGCTATACATTTAGACTTCACCAAATGAGGTACACAGGAATTAGATTGACTACATCTGTGGCAAGAGGTAATGGAAAAGCTCAGTATCTTCAGCCAAAACAAGTCCAGGAGCTGATTGTGGACCAGACCATCAACTGCTCGTTGCTGTTGTTAGGTGCTGTCGAGTCGTTTCCAACTCATAGTGACCCCATGCACAGCAGAACGAAACACTGCCCGATCCCATGCCAGCTCCATGATTCCTGCTATGCTTGAGCCCATCATCGCAGCCACCATGTCAATCCATCTCATTGAAGGCCTCCCCCTCTTTTGTCGACCCTCCACCCTTCCAAGCATGACATCCTTCTCCAGGGAATGGTCCCTTCTCACAACATGACCAAAATAGGTGAGACGAAGTCTGGCCATTCTTGCTTCCAAGGAGCATTTCTGGTGCAACTGCTCATATGCAAGTTCAACTTGAAATCAAAGACAATTAAAAACAAGTCCTTGAGAGCCAAAATATGACCTTGAATATATCCCTTCTGACCATCTAAAGAATAAATTTGATGCATTGAAAACCAGTGACCAAAAGCCAGAAGAATTGTGGCATGAAATCAAGAGAATCATCCAAGAAGAAAGAGGTCATTAAAAATACAGAGAAAAGAAAAGAACAAAACGGATGTCAGAAAAGACTCTGAAACTTACCCTTGAGTGAAGAGTAGCTAAAACAAATGGAACGACAAGATAAAAGAGCTGAATAGAAGGTTTCAAAGAGCAGCTCAAGCAAGACAAAGCCAGTAACTATAATGAAATGTGCAAAGACCTGGAGTTAGAAAACCAAAAGAGAAGAACATGCTCAGTATTTCTCAAGCTGAAAGAACTGAGGAAAAAATTCAAGCCTTGAGTTGCAATATTGAAAGATTCTATGGGCAAAATATTGAATGATGCAGGAAGCATCAAAAGATGGCAGGAATACACAGAGTCACTGTACCAAAAAGAACTGGTTGATCTTCATCCATTTCAGGAGGTGGCATATGTTCAAGGACCAATGTTATCAAAGGAAGATGTCAAAGCTGCACTGAAAGAATTGGCTAAGAACAAGGCTCCAGGAATTGACGGAATACCCATTGAGATGTTTCAACAAACGAATGCCTCGCTGGAGGCACACTCACTTAGCTATGCTGAGAGATTTGGAAGACAGCTATCTGGCCAGCTGACAGGAAGAGATCCATATTTGTACCCATTCCAAAGAAAGGTGATCCCACAGAATGTGGAAATTATCAAACAATATCATCATTATTACATGCAAGTAAAATCTTACTGAAGATAATTCAAAAATGGTTACAGCAATATATTGACAGAGAACTTCCAGAAATGCAAGCTGGATTCAGAAGAGGACTTAATGAGGGATATCATTGCTTATGTCAGATGGATCTTGGCTCAAAGCAAAGAGTACCAGGAAGATGTTTACTTTTGTTTTATTGACTATGCAAAACCATTTGATTGTGTGGATCATAACAAATTGTGGATAACATTGAGAAGAATGGGAATTCCAGAACACTTAATTGTACTCATGAGGAACCTGTACATAGACCAGGAGGCTGTCGTTTGAACAGAACAAGGGGACACTGTATGGTTTAAAATCAAGAAGGGAGTGTGTCAGGGTTGTATCCTTTTACCATACTTAGTCTGTATGCTGAGCAAATAATCTGAGAAGCTGGACTATATGAATAAGAACATGGCATCAGGATTGGAGGGTGAATCATTAACAACCTCTGCGATATGCTGATGACACAACTTTGCTTGCTGAAAGTGAAGATGACTTGAAGTACTTACTGATAAAGATTCAAGAATACAGTCTGCAATATGGATTACATCCCAATATAAAGAAAACAAAAATCCTCACAACTGGACCTATATGCAGCATTATGATAAATAGAGAAAAGATTGAAATTGTCAAAGACTTCACATTGCTTGGTTCTACAGTCGACACCAATGGAAGCAGCAGTCAGGACATCAGACGATGTATAGCACTGGGCAAATCGGCTGCAAAGGGCCTCTTTCAGGTGCTGAAGAGCAAATATGTCTCCTTGAGGACTAAGGTGCGCCTGACACAAGCCATGGTATTTTCACTTACCTCATATGCATGTGAGATCTGGACAATGAATAAGGAAGACCAAAGAAGAATTGGTGCTTTTGAGTTGTGGTGTTGGTGAAGAATGCTGAAAGTACCTTGGACTGATAAAAGAACTAACAAGTACAGCCTGAATGCTCTTTGGAAGCGAGAATGGGCAGACTTTGTCTCACATACTTTGTTCATGTTGTCAGAAGGGACCATTCTCTGGAGAAGGATGTCATGCTTGATAAGGTGGAGGGTTGACGAAAGAGGGGAAGGCCTTCAATGAGATGGATTGACACAGTGGCTGCAACAATGGGCTCGAATATGGCAAGGATCATGGAGCTGGTGTAGGACTGAGCAGTGTTTCTTTCTGCTGTGCATAGGGTCGCTGTGAGTCGGAGACAACTTGACGGCACATTACGACCAGCTTAGCTAGATGACAGTCATGACAGTTGTGTGAAAACCTGGTAAGATCTAGAAAGTGCTAGCATTAGGTTATCTTACGTTTGATGACATTTTGATTAGTTGCAGTCGAGCTGCCTTTTAGGCTTTTGTCTTTGTCAGATTTGTCATGACATCTTAAATAAAAGTTGGCATAAGAGCTGTATACCTGAGTTTTTAAATGTGTTTTCTCTGAAGTTAAACATTAATTTTATTTCAGGAACAAATACTTTCAGTTAGTTACCGCTTTTTTCTGTATTTCAGAACCGGGTGCTGGCAGTCCTCATACATTGCTTTCTGAGGGCTGTGGCGTGAGCATTTGCTTTGGGCTGTAACTACAGCAGTGCCTCTCAAAGTGTGATTCCGACTAACAACATCAGCTTGCTAGAAATGCAAATTCTCAGGCCCCATCCCAGACCTAGTGAGCACTCTATTTTCAGCAAGCACTCCTGACGATTCTGTCCTGAGATTGAGAATCCACTGCTGAAAGTGTTGTTTATTTATGCTTATTTAATGTTGCAGTTGCATGCTTTAGCTACATCTCATTTACATTTAACAACGATATGATAAGATACTATTATCTGTGTACATTTTACAGAAGAGGAAGCTTAGTTTCCAGGAGGTTAAACTTACTTGCCAAGATCACCCTGCAGGAACCACTGCCCTGTGATGCACTGACTGTTGTTCAACACTGATTAAGGCAACAGTGGGTCTGAGGATTCCTCTCACGGCTGTGCTGCTAGTGATCCTGCATCATGAAAGAATTTGCGTTCTTTACTGATCGTGGTTTAAGTTGGATGACACTTTCTATAAATTACATTTCAATATTGCTAAATATCAGTTTTCTTTAATCAGTGTTAAGTCTTAGCACCTAATATCAGTGCTTCAGTTAATGAAGTAGGAAAGGTCATTTGAATTACTGCCATTTTTTTTTTCCATCTTGAAAAATTTCAAGACTAAGGGAAAGGCATAGAGAATAGTATAATGAATCATATAATGAAATGGAACATATAAAGATGAATACCCTAGGTATTCTAAAACCAAAACCAAAGTCACTGCCATTGGATTGATTCCAACTCATAGCAGCCCCATAGGGTTTCTAAGGTTGTGAATCTTTATAGAAGCACGCTGTCTCATGCTGCTTCTGTGGAGCAGCTCATGGGTTCAAACTGCTGACCTTTTGGTTAGCAGCTAACTGCTGTAACCACTGTACCACTAGAGCTCCTTATCTTAGGCATTAGTGAGCTGAAATGGCTTGTATTTGCCATTTTGAATCAGATAATCATATGGTCTACTATGCTGGGAATGACAAATTGAAGAGGAATGGCATTGCATTTCATAGTCAAAAAGAACATTTCAGGATCTATTCTGAAGTTGTTGTTGTTGTTGTTATGTGCCGTCGAGTTGGCCCCCGACTCATGAATACAGTGCTGTAATCGGATAATATCCATACATATATAAGGAAGACCAGTTAATAACTAACACTCAAATTTACTCACCAACCACTAAAGCGAAACATGAAGGGATTAAAGATTTTTACCAACTTCTGCAGTCTGAGATGACCAAAAATGCAATCAAAATGAATTATTAATTATTGGTGATTGAAATGCCAAAGTTGGAAACAAGGAAGAATCATCAGTAGTTGGAAAATGACAACCTTGGTGATAGAAATGACTCCAGAGATCACATGATAGAATTTTGCAAGACCAATTACTTACTCGTTGCAAATACCTTTTTTCAACAACATAATGACCAGATGGAATACACAGGAATCAGATCAACTACATATGTGGAAAGAGGTGATGGAGAAGATGAGTATCTTCCGTCAAAACAAGGCCAGAGGTGAGTGTGGAACAGACCATCCGATTGTTCATATGCAAGTTCAAGATGAAGTTGAAGAAAGTAAGTCCAGCGAGAGCCAAAATACGACCTTGATTATATCCCACTTGAAGAACAGATTTGACATATGGAACACCAGTGACCGAAGACCAGATGATTTGTGGGATGACATTAAGAACATCATACATAAGAGCTGACAAGGGACAAGGTTGTAGTCACTTCTTGGCCACAGCTAGCTACCCAGAGGGTAGTTGAACCTGTGGGCTCGGGACCATCTAGTCACAGGGGACATCAGGATCAATTGGCATAATATACTACACAAAACATTGTTCCACCTCTTACTTTGGTGAGTAGTGACTAGGATCTTAAAAGCTTGCAAGCAGCCATGTACATGCAATGATGGGTCTCTCCTCATCCAGAGCAAAGAAGAATGAAGAAAACCAAAGATACATGGAAACAATTGGTCCAAGCGACTGGTATACCATGTGATCCGCAGCCCCATACAACTGTGAGACCAGAACTAGATGGTGCCTGGCTACCAGGGTCAACCACTAGGAGGGGGATCTATGTAGGAGATCCTGGATAGAGAGGGAGAACAATGTGGAACAAAACTAAAAATCATTAAAAAAAAGGGAGGCAAGTTTGCTGGTCTGATGGAGCCTGGTCGAACTACTGAGACAATGGCTCCTAGCTGCCCTTCGGGTCTGGCATGGAACCCACACCTGTGGTTTCCAGCCAAACAAAAGACAGGCATATGAGTTGAACATTTACCTCAAATAGATACACTCCTTGGAGAGAACAATCATGGGAAAGGAAGAAGGGCTATGTATGCACAGGGAGACAACTCGGGGCAGGAGTACATGGAGGGATGGACACAGGGAAAAGGTAACTATCAGGAGGAGGTGGGAGGGGACCTGTTGCATGGGGGTAAATTGTAGTCAATGTCATGAGACAGTATGTGAACTGCTGTCTGAAGAGTGAATTTGCTCTGTAAAGTTTCACCCAAATCACAATTAAAAAAAAAAAAAAAGCAAAACTTGATTAAAGTGTTAAAGAACAAAGATGTCACCATGACATCTAAGGTGCGCCTGACCCAAGCCATGGTATGTTCAGTAGCCTCATGCATGTGAGAGCTGGACAGTGAATAAGGAAGACCAAAGAATCTATGCATTTGAATTGTGGTGTTGGTGAAGAATATTGAAAATACCCAAAATTGCCAGAAGAACAAATGTATCTTGTCTTGGGAATAGTACAGTCGGAATGCTCATTAGAAGTGAGAATGGCTAGACTCTCTCTCATGTACTTTGATTGTTGTCAGAAGGGACCAGTCCCTGGAGAAAGATACCATTGCTTGGTAGAAAAAGGGGAAGCCCCTCAACAAAATGGATTGACACAGTAGCTATGATGAAGGGCTCAAGCATAGTAAATATTGTGAGGATGGAGCAGGACTCGGCAGTGTTTCGTTCTGTTATACACTAAGTCACTATGCCTTGGAGCCAACTCAGTGGCACCTACCAACCACAACACAATGAACATTCGTGTACCTTCCCTCCAGATCAGCATCATACCTGAGAAAATTATCATTAATTTGATAATACCCTCTAACATCATACAATCCTCATATACATTTCACCAGCTGTCCCAACATGTTTAATGACACTACCCACCAACTCAGGTCCAGGATATATTCAAGGTGCATTGCATTTTGTTGCTTTAGTCTCACTCAACAAACCATTTCTTTTTTGTGGAGTCCTGTTGTTTTGCAGATGCTTGCTTAATTTGAATTTGTCCATTTCCTCATTAATAGATACAGGTCAGAATTATTATAGAGGATACTACATGGGTACTCCTGTGTGCCTCTTCTTGCATCACATGGGTTCTCACGTTGTTGTTGTTGTTATGTGCCATCGAGTCAAACCCAACTCATAGCGACCCCTCCTTGGGTTTCCGAGGCAGTATCACTACGGAAGTAGGATTGCCCAGCCTTCCTTCCAAGGAGTGGCTGGTGGGTTTGAACCGCCAGCCGTCTGGTTAGCAGGCAAGTGTCTTAGCCACTATGCTACCAGAGCTCCCGGGTTCTCACATAGTGATGCTAAATTTGATTACTTGGGGAAGTACTATCTGCTAAATCTCTCCATAGAAAGACAAATCTTTTCCCCTTTGTAATTACAAAATACTCTGTGAGATTACCATGAACATTATCTTTCACAGCCTTTCTTCCAGTGGTTTAACTATCTGTTGGTGATGCTTACCTGAATAAGTTATTATATAGTTGGTTATAAAATCCTGATTTTCCCTCCTACTTCTGTTAAGCATCCTGTAGAGTCAGTGCCTCCACCCCACCCGACCATTAACCATTCTTTTTGATACTCATGTTGCCCAAAATTTGGTTAGTGGCAGCCCATACAAGCTGGCTCATTACCACATGGTACTTTAAAAATTTTCTTCCCATCTGGTTTAATACAATGCTGCAGGCTCATCTAGTACTTTCCTTGTCCCAGACTTGGTTCCATTAGTGGGATGTGGCACTGAAAACTCATCTGTATAGAATGCATTGCTACTTCACCATTGTTTTATACCATTACAGGAGCCTAAGACATTTGTTTGTAGTAATTATGTTCTGTTTGGCTTTGACCTCTTGAACTGTGTCCCTGCTTCTATTCTTACTACTCCTGTATCTTTTCTCCACAAAGCAGCCCAAGTGGCTTCTGTTTTTCTTTTTCACAAATAGCAACTGAAATCTATCGTTCACTTGCTCAAAATTTTTCCCATCATTCTCAGAATAAAATGCAAGGTTCTTACCGTGCCTTACAAGGCCCTACATGATCTGTTCCTCACTGCCTCTCAGATTTCATCTCCTACTCCTCACCCCTTTGCTCACCACACTTCATCCACATTGACTGCACTGGTTGTTCATTATTCCAACCTCTTTTCTCATTCAGAATCTTTGTATCTGCTGTTCTCTTTTAATATGGTACCTGCTAAGTGCAAGGGCAGAGCAAAATAAAAAATACATTAAGCTTTGTTAAACTTGAAATCTATCAATGATCTCCTTTTGTCTTTACAACCTTCTGTGAAAGGGCGTAAGGCATGTGGTGGTGGTGTTCACCCTGGTATACTAATGAAGATCTTAAGTGGTAAGGCAAATACAATAGCGCCAAGGTTTTTTAAATGGGTTCTTTTGCTCCACTTTATTTCAGCTGTCATGTATGGTGCCTGTGACTTCCATGATTCATACATTGTAGTTATTGTTCTTATTTTAGTTTGTTGATATTGGAATAGTAACAAGTATTGAAATAAACCATAAACAAGTGGATGTTGCAAAAAAAGGACAAGAAGTCTGTGTCAAAATAGAACCGATCCCTGGTGAATCTCCCAAAATGTATGGAAGACATTTTGAAGCTACTGATATTCTCGTCAGTAAGGTAAGTCTGTCAGCAAAAGTAGCCCTTAAGAAACCAGGTGGTGCTCTTCTCCAGGTGCCTGTCCTCAGTGCTCTGAGGGCTATAGTCTGGATGAGAATTTGATGGATCTCCATTTCTCATTAGGACCTGATCTGTAGAATGGCTTTGGCTTTGTTAAGGGAGGTTCCCTCTAAGCAGAGCAACACTAACGAACACCAAGGCTTCTAGATCCTTTCGTCCCCGACAACCAAACGGATTATGCTCACCTAAAAAGCAGGCAAGCACTGCTTTTGGTGAGATTGTGGGTCCACGATTTTCTCTGGCACTTCTATGGCCTGTTTCAGCAAACATTCTATTTTGTTTACCCTGTTTGTACTTTGGACTTTACAGATCAGCCGACAGTCCATCGATGCACTCAAAGACTGGTTCAGAGATGAGATGCAGAAGAGTGACTGGCAGCTTATTGTGGAGCTGAAGAAAGTATTTGAAATCATCTAATTTTTCCACAGGGGCAGGATATGGAGTAAATGCAATATTATGTTGTAGTACCACCAACAAAAACAGAACGGACTATTTGGACACCGATGAACTTAAAGAGTACGGAAGGAAAAAAATAGGTGTATAAAATGTTTTCCATGAGAAACCAAGAAACTTACACTGGTTTGACAGTGGTCAATTACATGTCCCCACAGTTCCAATGTGCCTGTTCACCTTGCCTACTCCTTTCCCCACCTCTCTCTACTGGCTGCTGTTTTAAAGTTTGCCCTTCCCCAAATTTGAATTTTTATTACAGATCTAAAGCTCTTTCAATTTTATACTGATTAAATCAGTACTGCAGTATTTGATTATACCAAGCTTCTGCAGATTTTGTGATTCTTGGACTTTTTTGATGTAAGAAATACTTCTTTATTTATGCGTATTCTTCCCAGTGATTTTTCAAGCATTCTTCTGCCATATGCCCTTAGAAATTTTTTAAAAATATAATATTAGGCATTCTGATATTTCTTTCTCTGCTTTGTGTGAAACCATGGTGTAAAACATAGCTGGCTGCTTTTGACTGCTTGTAGAGTCATGAGAGTCCATTGTAATCATTACAATGCAGAACTACCAATAAAGAAAATAGACATTGTCCAGTAAGTTCTGTTAGGCTTCCACGTTAGCATAGCTTCTCACCCCATCAGCCATCCTCAGTATAGTACATTCTTCCAAGGACATTAACTATTTTATTAACTGCCATACTTTGTGTACCTTGTACATGTTAACATTAAGGACTTTTTATACTAGAAAACTTATCATGCAGACATTTTCTAATGAGATGACTTGGCAATAATAGGGAATCGATTAACCATACATGGGCTTCCTGCTTCTTTATAAGTGGTTGCAGATACATCAGAATGATTTAATAGAATGATTTAATAATATGTTCATAGTAGTAATTTGTTTTATGGTTTTCCTGAAGAATGTGGGGGGTGGGTCCAAGTGAGACTATATACATCTTTCCCCAACTTATTCTTACTTCAAAGCTCTAATGTCTGCTTATTTATAGCATACTGTTGAAGTCAGTTTTGGGGTGTTTAAAGAAAGATTTACAAGTATTCACTGGCAAAGAACTATAAAACTATATTTTTGAAGTGTTATGGTGGACTAGCATAGAAAAATTATATACATTTGAAAATCTGTACTCTTCATCATTACGAAGTGTCTGTAGGGCCAGGAAAGGCTTTAAACTATCTGTGGGACTTAATTCTCCCAGGAAAAAGTAAACTTACCTGTATGTGTGCGCGCCTGTGTGTAGGGGTAACATCCTAATTCAAAATGTGTAAATTTCTCCAAATGGAAGAAGTAAAGATTTTATTAGCATTCTCTTAACATTCATTCATGCTTGGGGAGAAAAATGGTAAGGTTGTTTAGGTCTTTACCCTTGTTTGGAACCAATGGAATCCTGATCTGGGACCTCTCAGGAATTTCAAAGCTGAATACAGAGCCTGTAACAATGTCTGGCCTGGAGGTTTTCAGCCCTTAATTATAATAAATAAAATAGTTCAGCATTTGCTTTCCAGAGTCTTTTTAAGGATTCACAAAAAGGAGCTGTACAAAATATACATACAGTTCTTTATTAAACAACTGTAAACACTTCACTGTAAAAATCCATAAAACTTTATAAACAAACATTTTGTAAATAGAATCTATGCTACAGTAAAAGAACACAATTATTTACATGCAATACTGACAAATTTGGCACTTTCTGAAAGGAAATGTACAAAACACTTGCTTAAAAAGAAATTTAAAATTATAAAAACTCAGAGCATTACTATCATGCACTTTGCAAATACCTCACAAGCACTTATGGCACAGCGAGGAGAGAGCACCAGGCTCCCCGTTATAATATTCATGTAACTTTTAATGTGCTTCCATAAGTTTGTTGTAAAACCACTTGAACATTGTCAAGAATAAAGTCAAATGCCATATTCCAAACCGATTCCACAGACTGCTGCATCAACCTGAAGGTGGGGGAAGGAGAAACATCATTAAAAAAGGCTGATTCCTTGCTGAAGAACAGGTTTGACATATCTTTGGGGTTTAATAATCTTTGATTTCATTTGCAGTGTAAGAATCAGTTTTAGCAAAATAAAATTCCAGAACAGAGAATAAGTATTTCCTGTGGTTTTAATCACATAAAAACCTCAAGGAGAACAAGCTCATTTATTACTCAGTTGACCTTACAGCATTTCTTTCTCTGGGATCCGAAATTTAGCCGCCCCTCCTCAACCCTACAGAATGCAGTTTTTCATTGCCAGAAAATACAAAACTTACTCAGTACTCCCATTAATTAGCTATTGTGACATACCCCCTTATCCTTTTTTGATGAAAGTACCTTTTCATGTATTTTATGACTAAATCCAGTTTTTCCAAATCTTTTTCCTCAATCAGATCAGTACAGTATTTCACAACTTGCAGAATATCTTCTTCCATTGGATCTAAGGAAGGGAAAAATGAGAACCAATGCCTTTTTTAAAATTATTTTTATTGTGATTTGGGTGAAGGTTTACAGAGCAAATTTACTTTCCATACAGCAGTTCACATATACTTTGTCTCATGACATTGACCACAGTTTACAATGCAACAGCTCCCCTCCCACTTCCTTCCGCATAGTTACCTCTTCCCTGTGTCCATCCCTTCATGGACTCCTGCCCCCTGAGCTGTCTCCCTGTGCATAAGCAGCCCTTCTTTCTCCCATGATTGTTCTCTCCAAGGAGTGTATCTATTTGAGGTAAATGTTCAACTCATATGCCTGTCTTTTCTTTGGCTGGAAACCACAGGTGTGGGTTCAATTCCAGATCTCAAGAGCCCCTAGGGGCCATAGTCTCAGTGGTTCCACCAGGCTCTATCGGACCAGCAAACCTGGTCTCTCCCCCCCCCCCCATTTTTTTTTTTCCTCCAAATGATTTTGAGTTTTGTTCCACATTGTTCTCCCTCTCCATCAAGGATCTCCTACATAGTTCCCCTTCCAAGTGGATGACAGTGGTAGCCGGGCACCATCTAGTTCTGGTCTCATAGTCGTTTAGGCTGCAGATTGGATGATGTACCAGTCGCTAAGGCTAATTGTTTCCATGAATTTTGCTTTTCTTCATTCTTCTTTGCTCTGGACGAGGAGAGACCCATCATTGCATCTAGATGGCAGCTTACTAGCTTTTAAGATCCCAGTTGCTACTCACCAAAGTAGGAGGTGGAACAATGTTTTGTACAGTATGTTATGCCAATTGAGCTTGATGTCCCCTGTGACTGTGGTCCCAAGCCCACAGGTTCAACTACTCAGTCCCTCTGGGTAGCTGGCTGTGACCAAGCCATGACCACAACCTTGCCCCTTATCAGCTCTACTACACACCTGGGAATTCTGATCATTCACATAAACTTGTAAGGACCATTGTCTGCCAACCCTATATATGTTCTTGGATACACTCCCCATTTCATAGACATACCTAATCGTTCAGCCTGTCCACCCATCTATCCACCCATATACCCATGGTTAGCCTTCACTGACAGTGCAGTACTATATGTACAAAAGGGTTCTTATTTGTTGTCTGTACCTCCCATGTACCTCTCTGTCTTTCTCATACTTGATGCTGCTATATTGGTCACTCACATTGGTGCACTGCCCTTCTCTTCACCCAAATCAATACTTACGTCTGTCTATCTAACAGCGTTCCCTCCCCTTCCCTCCCACCCCTAGTAAACCAACAAAGAAAATACCAATGCCTTTTTGAAGTAGGCAGAGATCTGCAGGAACAAAGGGAAACCAGACCACTGACTTAGAACTCTCCTAAGAATTGGTTACAGTACGGAATTTTTCAAAACAAACCTGGATTTGAAAAGGTTAGGGGCTGCCTAGCCTTATTAAGCTTATCAGATTTTGAAAAATGAGTTACATGTAGTTTAACCTGTTCATATTCTCAAATAATAGGATCACTGAACCTCAGTCTTGTATCACCTAACCTGAAATAGTAGTTATCCATTCTTTGAGCAAGGTCTTCACGTCATTGAATTCAACAGCTCCAGCTAGATTAGGTGCTGGTGGTCTACCACAGCTGGACAGGTCAGCCTGCAAATCTGCAAACCCTGGCACACCTGAAGTTGAAGCAGTTTGCTCTGCCTGTTTAAAATATGTAAGACAAAATGTGCTATATTTATACAGTATCAAGTATCTTAACTGATCACAGTAAAGGTGAAAATTTTAAGTTTTTTTTAAAAAAAACAGTACCAGGGGTTTTTCATATGCAGGACCTTCGTGTTTCAGGAAGCCATCAATTAACTTCTGGGGACTCCCGCTGGGCCCTGACAGAGATTTTGCAGGACTACTAAGCAGCTGGTTTTTCAAAGGACTCTGAATCTTTTTCTTGGGGCTGATGGGGTTTTTCTTCTTGTTTCTTTTTTTATCTCTTACTATTGCTGGTTTTAGCTGAAGTAAAGAATTCTTTGGCACTGGAAGAAGACAGGCGTAAGATCCTCAACAAATGTTTCCAGATAGTACATGAGTTCTCTTCAGAACAGTGTTTTTAGAAAGTGCAGATACAAATCCAACTAGGACTGCAACACCCACATTGTATATATGTATGCACTTCAGACAACCTCTCAATAGCTTTTCATGCAACTAACACCTTAGACTGTTACAATAATTAATACAACAATGACTTCAGTGCTCACATCTTTCATTTTTGTTACATGTCACTTTCCAGGCTTACCAGATGTGCTGGCTGGTTGCTGGTGAGTGGTGGCCTCTCCCTGCCTTTCTCTTTGATCATATGCTGCTTTTAGCTCCTTCTGAAGCTCAGCAGGAAGGGCAGCAAACACCTCAGGGTCCACCTAGTGGAAAAGGGATGGTTCAAAGTCAAACCTGACTTTATTCCTTATGGCAACTAGTTTATTTTTTTTCATAACAAAGATTTTGTTTTCAAATTAATTTTTCTGGCCTGCTTGAATTATTAATAGGTCCCCCAGTC